ATTATGCTGGCCTTTTGGATATTATTTTCATAAAATCGGCTGATATTCAATATCCCTCTCAGCCGGTAACAGAAGATAATGGAAAGCACCATGCCGTGCAACGTCCGTCAGCAAGCTTTCAATGGAAAGTTTCAACCATTCTATGATCATTAGTAGCTCGTGAAGCTCAACAAAGGGCGATTTTGTGCCTCTGCCAAAGCTGAGTGTGCTGAAGTAGTGATTAGAAAATCCACCTAGCATTTTCTGCTGATTTTCAACAAAAAACGAAAAGATCTATATATCTTAATAATTATCTACATATGCATGATAAGCACATCATTTTACCTCTAAGTAAAATCAATCAAAATTTTTTTCCTTCCCCCAACAAAATGCAGCGGCTTGAAACGAAAAGTGCAAAAAAGAAAAACTAATGCTGATACCGACTTTTTAAAATTGCCACCGTTTTTTCTAAAGCTTGGCTCAAACCTTAGAAACAAAACTTTGTTTTCGGTGCATACATGCATCCACAGGCCTGTTGCTTTGGGATTGGTTACGTCCTGTCACATGCAGAGCCAGCGAACGGCGCAATGTTCTCGCAATGCATTTTCGAGCAGGGATGCGCATGCAGCGCAGACACGAATTTGCGTATCTCTATCACTCTCCACCGTAAAAAGGATAAAAACACATAAATTTTTAAAGATATAAATGATATCGCAATAATTGATTGGCTCTCTTCGTCTATGTTTGATTTGATAACGCACGACACTTCCATAAGGAAGTCATTTAGGATATCTTTATCCACCATAATTTTCCGTTAATGCTATTTAAATTTGAAACTTCACATACTTGAATGGTTTTGCAAATATCCGCAAATTGGATGAATGCTTGCTCGCAAAAGCTTGCTCTGCCATGCCACCGTAGTCCAGAGTAAAGCGCCTAAATAGGTTATTTAAGCAAGCTGAACTTTGACCGTAGAGTAACTTCAACCAACCTCTCATCATTCTCAATTTCCTTTTCTTTCTTATTACCACCTTCAATAGTATACGGCTGTGGTTGACCTTCGTCAGTAACCTGGAATTCGCAGC